TTTTTTTTTTTTTTTTTTTTTTTTTTTTTTTTTTATTGAACAGATAAAAATAATTTTATAGCAAATAATTATTTTTCAGGTAATGTGAATAAAGTAAGCAATCCAAATCAGCAATCAAATCAACAATCAGGTCCTCCAACTTCTCAATCAAGTGGAACAAATCAAGGTGGTCAAAATAGTAATCAATGGTCACAAGGAAAGTCTAATAATCCTGGAGGACCAAGTCAAAGTTCTTCTGTTCAAAATAATAATGCTTCAGCCCAACAGCAACAACAACAACAGCAACAGTCAAATTCCAGTAATAATAATAATCAGTCAAATAATCAGGCTCAGGGATCTGTTAATAGTAGTAATACATCTGCAAATAATAATCCTTCAACAAAACAACAATTAGAACAGTTAAATACAGTGAGAGAAGCTCTTTTTAGTCAAGATGGTTGGGGTTGTGTGAGTATCTTCTTTATCATATAACTATATAATAATAACTGAACATGTATACATAAATTTATATTTATTTTTTTTTTTTTGAACTTATTTTTTGAAATGTGTATATCATTTAATTATGCTCATAAAAATATTTTTTTTTATTATTGCAATATATATATACACACATATATTATATATATAAAATATATATATAAGTACCTATATAATATAATTATAATTATAATAATTATAAATTATAAATAATAATTATATTAATATATTAATATATAATATATTAATATAAATGTATACAATGTATACTATTACATTATATATTATATATATTTAATATATATAAATTTTGAATCATTTTTTACATTATTATTTTATTTTTTTATATTATTTTATTGTATCATATTATACTAACATTGAATTTCACTTTCTCTGTTGTAGCAGAATGTGAATCAAGATACAAACTGGGATGTCCCAACTTCTCCAGAACCTAGTATGTCAAAAGATGCAGTTCCAATGTGGAAAACACCAGTAAATAATGGTACAGATTTATGGGAAGCTAATCTTAGAAATGGTGGTCAACCTCCACCTCAACAACAAGCTAAAACGCCATGGGGTCATACACCAGCAACAAACATTGGTGGAACTTGGGGTGAAGATGACGAAGCAGCTGATTCATCAAATATGTGGACTGGTGCTCCAACATCTTCTCAACCAAACTCTGCAGCTGGACAATGGACAACTGGTACTAGTAATCAAAGTGGCATGTGGGGAGGTAATGATAAAATTTTATTTTTTCGTTATTTCTTTCTATTTTGACGATTGACACTTGCAGAATGATGTAAATGATTAAAAAATAAATTCCAAATTGTATATTACAAATTATATATTATAAAATAGAAAGTATTTTTAAATTTTGTTAAGTTAAAAAAGAAATGTGAGTTTTTTGAAACACATCAATATTTTATTCGAAAATAAAATCTTATAGATTATGTGTATTAATTTTAATAAATTCTAATAATATAATTCTAGTAATATAATAAAAATTGATAAATATTTAGTGGTTTTGTGTTTAATTTTTTATGTGTAAATAAAAATAAGCCTGATAATATATTTAATATCTTTTAAATTAAGACTTTTTAAAATAGACGTTAAAATAAAATGCGAATAAAATATGGATGTTTATTTACAGGATCTAATTGGGGTGATCCAAGAATTGATCATCGAGATCCTCGCGAACTTCGTTCTGTTGATCCTAGGGAGATGCGAGATCCTCGTGACCATAGAATGTCTTTGGATCCTCGAGAACACATTCGTGTAATGGACCCAATGGCTCGAGATCCTAGAATGACAGATATACGTGGGGATCCTCGCGGAATTTCTGGGAGATTAAATGGTGCTAATGCGGATGCTATGTGGGGTCAACCACCAGGTCCTCCACATCATCAAATGGGACATCAACATCCTTCAGGACCTCCAACGAAGATGTTGAATCCTTCCAATATAAATCAATGGGCTGCGCCACCACCAAAGGATATTATGCCAGGTAAACCAACAGGTTGGGAAGAACCTTCTCCACCAACACAAAGAAGAAACGTTCCAAATTATGACGATGGCACAAGTTTATGGGGAAATCCTGCAGCCAATCAAAGAACTATACCTGGCAATAAAGTTTCTCATTGGAAAGATATTCCAACACCAAATTTAGGACGAGGAGGTTTGTTTAATTTCTTTCTATTTATTTCTCTCTTTTTAAATATTCTCTTTTATTTTCAAATTATTTTTATTTGTATTTACATATTATTAAAATAAAAATATTTTATAAAAAATATAATATATAAATATTTTATTGTTTTTGTTTATAATCTTATCACAATTATTAATAATTATAAATATTTTATTAATTAAAATTTATAACCTACATAAAAATTTAATATAAAATTATTCATTTTTAACTTTATCATTATAGGAATGCAATGTCCTCCAGGTATGCCACAAAACAGAATGCCAGGTCAACCTGGAATGAAACCAGATGTTAGTGGACCAATGTGGGGACATCCTGGTGCTCCTGGTGGACGAAATGGTAGTTGGGCTGAAGGACCACATGATGCAGGTTCATGGGATGATCCAAAAACACCAAGTACCTGGAATGAAGCTCAATTAAATCCTGGCACTTGGGGTGGACCTAGTGCGCACAAACCTAAACCAATGGGACCCACTGGAAGCTGGGGTGATAGTGATATGGATCCTACTCCTAGTTGGGGTCATCCTGCAAAACCTACTCTTACAAAAGAAGTTATATGGAATAGCAGAGAATTTCGATATCTTTGCGACTTGGGATTTAAAGTATGTAAAAATTGTTTAAAGTTATCAAATAGAATTTAATAATCCATGAGATTGAATTAAATAACATAAATTTGTTATAATTATGAATATAATATGCTTAACATTATTAAAAATTATATAAAATAAATTTTTATATTCAAGAATATGCACTTTTTTTATTAAGAAGTCTCATAAAAATTGTATTGAAAATCAATTTATTGAAGAATATTTGAAAGCTTCATTTTAAAAAATTTTTTACCAAATATTATAGGATATTATGTTAAGTAAAAATACTATTTTTATTATTCCATTTTCTGTTTAGATTAATATAATTTTAAAACAATTTATATAAAATATAAATAACATATATAAAATATAAAAAACAATAAACAATATTTTGACAATAAGTAATATCTTTTTATATTTAGATTGATTGTGTTTTTATTTATAGAAAGAGGATGTTGAATTAGCATTAAGAAATCGAGAAATGAATAGAGAAGAAGCTTTGGAACTTTTAAGTCAAGTACGGCCTTTAGACCAATGGAGAAGACATGACGCACACTCCACTTATGATCCAACAAATCAAGCTACAACTGCGCCAGCATATCCTAGATTTAATCACGTCGCACAGCAAATGTCTTTTCCTCCGGTAAAATTTTATTATTGATTTTGTTCTTAATAAATTATTTTTTAATTTTTTATATTTATACATATAACATGCATGTGCATACATAATATGATATGCAAAATAATTTGTTTTATTTATGTTCAAATTGTGGAATTTTTAATTTTTACAATTGTTATTATATTATAAATTATATATTAGATACATAAATATATTTTACATTTTATTTTAATAATAATATTTATTTAATTTTTTAATTTCAATAGTTAAAACTTTTTAATAAAAACTTAATAAATTAATAAGTAGTGTAAATGTGATTAAATCAATAAATAAATATAAATTTAAAATTGAATCAGATTTGAACTAATGTATTAAGATTACTTTAATACTAATATTATTTATTATAATAATCAAAAAGCTTATATTGACAATCCAATTCAAATATCATATATGTGATTTTATCACATGCTTGATCCCTATTGTACCTATTCTCATTGATACATTATAATTGGTATAATACATTGGTACAATACATAAAATTTATCAAAAATTTAATTGTCAATAATTATAAATTTATTTAGTGGTTTTTATTTTCAATTGATATATCCATTCATTTTATTTTGTTTTGATGTGCAATAAATTCAAACGCAAATAATCGCGAGTAAAAAACTTCCTGAGTTATATAAAACTTTTATGAATAAAAAATATATACAATAATGTCTGTTTCATTTTAAAATTGAAATATTTATAAAACAACCAGATATGTAATTTTGAATTAACAAATTATATTATTAATATTTTTTTTTTTTTGAAACAGTTTTATTTTATTAGAAAATATTTATTCTATTTTTTCAATTGTATCTATAAAATATTAATTTAAATTAATATATATATAGACATGTAATATAGTTAAAATATATAAAAAATCATTGTCATATATATATATATAAAGAATGATTTTTAATTTAATTATTAATATAATATTAATTTATTATTATTATTAATTATTAATATAATATTAATTAGGGTGCTGGAGTGCCAAGTGGAAATACAACTGGTAGTGTGGGAGGATCAGTCGCTAGTGCAAGTTTATTGAAATTGCAACAACAGCAACAACAAACTGCTGTTCCATTACAACAACAACAACCTAGTAGTAATGCACCTCAACCACCTTTTAATCAGGTAATTATTAGTAATAATAAAATATTA